ACACACTGACAAAGGTAAAGATTTGAGATCCGGTACTCAAGTAATCATAATTAGGGAACGTTCTGATGTGCTCCATGCAAGTTGAGAACCGATTCACTTTTATTGCATTAATGTGTATTACTCTGACTTATTTCAATAAACACTGAGAAAAGGAATCCCTTGGATAATGAATTATGAATATGCTCCGTTTGATGTAGATTTCCAACAATGTATGAATGTATTTTATTCTTCATATGCTTCTTTGAACAATGACTAATTATTCAATAAAACATCTTCTAAGGAGAACACTGCGGAGTCTTCCCCTGACACATGTGATGGACCTTTGAGCTTAGAAATGCAAAAATATCACAAGTCCAAAGGATTTACTACAAGCATTGTGAAGGTTTAATTCATTTGAACCAGGTGTTAGCGAGTACACTAGCGCGGGACACTACATGGAAAACATCCCGTCATGGGCCACGGAGACAATCAAACACTCATCAACATTCTGGGAGCACATGTGCGGGAGATAGGTGTGACAATGGTGTCGACATTAATGGAAGATATATGACCCCACAATGACAGTTAAGCATTATCTTGAATAAAACATCGGATTTTGATCATACACGGCCTTAGAGAGATATAGCAAGACAACACCCCGGCGTGTGGGAGATGTTCATACAGCAACACCGTGCCTTTGGTTATGTGTGTGGCAAGAGTTATTCAATACACATACAGGGTACAGTATTCTCTTCGCGGTCTACTCCCATTTGTGAGAACACCCAGTTGTGAGACTCCCAGTTGTGAGACAGTGGAGTAGGTAATTATCAAAGAAAACACGCCTTACTCCCCTATCTGATAGAATGGATTAACCTTAGCTAATTATGGATTAGCTATTTAACTGAATCTTGTGGAGGTAACTTAATGAAACTCTAAAAGATAAAGTAATTAACCTACTCAGATAAACGGCTTTAAAAAATAAACACTTTGTGTAGGTAACTTCGTGATCATTGGAAAGAGAAATTAATTTACCTACTCAGATTTACGTGTTTGAAAAATCTAGCAATAACTGTTGTAACTATAATTAATCCAAATGTATTTATTAACCTTTGACTGCTCTTTCCGATCACCATTATGGCAGGCCTTCAACAAGTAGAATATATCACCAGTTCACGATAATCTTTTTCAGTATTTCAGTATCTATTGAAAACAATAAATGCTCTTCAACGAACAATGTCTTCTGTGTTAATTAACTCATTAATGAACTATGCCTCCTGCGGGTACTCTTCAGCAACAGGGCTGTTCCCACTTTCATCGTAGGGATGGGGAAGCACCACCTGTGTGCACTGAACCATTAATTAATGTGTCTCACAACTGGGAGTTCTCACAAATGGGAGGACCCACGTGGGTCTATTGTGACAGAACATAATGACCATATATACTTGTATGCGATATATCCATATTCAGATGTTCAAGGGACTCTGTTCAAAATGGAACCGAATATATTCCTTAGTTTACTGAGGAAGCAATATCTGGAGAAATTCGGGGAAAGACATGAAGAAGGAGTGGGCTTTCCCCCGGGTGCCACTTGTGCTCCTTTCCCTGCAGCTATTGTCCTTTGTGATTATGGATATCTGTACTTCTGCTCGGATTGGGTAAGTCACCAGAAGATAACTGACACCAGACGTTACGTCTGCTTCTGATATATCGATCTTCTAACGTCCTTCAAAAAATCTCAAATAGCCACTCCCCTTCCAACCTGAAAATGAAGTAGAGAAGATCAGTGAGGTCGCCTTTCCTGTTTCACAGCTAGATCTGAGCATAAGGATACAGAGGGACAAAACCTACAGTCAACAATTGAGCATACGAAGATCTCTGCAATGATTTCAAAGAGAGGTATACAATTCGTTTCCAGAAGTTGTGTGACCAAGGTGACAATATTCAAGGCTACTTGTACAGTTTTCTATAAGTTTTATGACCGACATGAGAGGTAAAATTCCAACTTCGACGCATTGATGACAACAAATCATATCCGATTCAATTCTCTCTTTCGTCCTGTTTTTTTTCACAAGTGAGCAATAAACTGACTTGCGTTTGCATGTGTCTTTGGCAGGTGCCACCGTTGGGGCAGGAAACGCAAACACGTGCTCACGGCCTAATCGGAATCGTAATATCGACTCTTCTTTCGACAAGGAATTCTCATGAATATGAAAGAATTAATCGTATTTACTTAATGTATGATCTCATTTTGATCTCATAGATAACCCATACTATATATTATTATCTACCTAGCATGAGGGGTACATGTAAACCATCTCGTATATGACCGTCACTTCGTATGGCTTTTGTTCAAGCTTCCAAGGCTTAAGCGGAGCTTCCAACATGTTTTATTGTAAACGCGTGGAGGATATTCCAAGTTTGAAGCATCACTGACTCAAAGTCTGGTAAAAAATGTGCTTTTAATGTACCACGTAAGCCATTGGTTATATTTTCAGGTGACCAATTTACATGCCTCTGTCGTGTTATTTGCAGATAAAGGTGTAAATAATTGAAGAAAAAAAAATCAAAACTATATTTCAATATTGATATGAGCCAAAAAACTATGGAATGCATAATAGTATATTTTTAATCTTAAAAGGGGCGCACGATCTGAAATATACACCTTCATATGCGAGAGAATGATTGATGTTAATATTTACTTTATAATCAAACCTTTCTTTTATAGTATGGCCATGATAACACGTTGGTAATGAATGAACACTTCTGACCTACTTCATACGTTTGCCATAGTAATAATATGTTGAAGTAAATGACATTTCATACTTAACATCCGACCCCCTACCCATCGCCCTCGTAGGCGTGTGTCCAGTTGTATATAAATGGGGATAAGGCCTATTCTTTGATCCCCAAGACGTTTTCCAAGCTCTGCCTGAACTGAATACAAATACGTTCAATCCTCTACGCCTTACGCTGAAATGCTCCATTACTCATTGCTGTTCAGATAGGGAGTGTAAACAGCTGAAGAGATACGTCCAATCAGGGGGCGATATACGATCGCCTCTTTCGTGCAACACCTATTGATCTGGGGCGACCTCAAACATACCTTTTCAAAGGCCAATGATGGACTTACGCCTCTAAACATACCCTGTCCGGAATGAATTGCCCCAATACATAGGAACATCTTGAAAGATGAACTTGACTAAATATCCTGTCCTGTAAACAAACTGTCGTGCGCTGGACAGGGGAACAGTGTGGTCGGCGATTAGCCCTGCCCCCAGGACAGAGCACCTGTAGGGGTACATCAAAGTCTGGCCTGGTTTTGGAATGTATCCTTGCAATACAGTAATACACGGCTATTATAAGCAGCATAGTTTGAGATCCAGCACGATGGAGAAGAGCCAGGTACCTATACAACTTGCCATTGACGTTATTTGAAACCAGCGAATTATTAATTAACAAAGTACATAACATGGATTTAAATCGGTATATTTAGGTCGAACAAATTAATCATAATTTTGTATTGGGAATGTACCCCTTGCATGAAGATTACTCACTGGTCTGTGATGAGAGACATATTTCTCATCATACATACGCCTTACTTACTTCTGGTTACATTCTCTTGTTCACTTGCTGTGCTTTGGTATAAGTAAGGTTGATATTGTTTACCGTTGTTCAAGCAAGCTGAAGTATTGGCACACCAGCCAAAGACTTTCCACGTGTGTATGTAAATGTACAGTAACTGGACCTTCGTTTGTGTGAGCAGAATCGGATGATCCAAAACAAGATCAGCTGATAGGTAGTGAGGAATCATGGAGTATTTTTTAAGGAATGGTTGCGGAGATGATGTTTTTTTAATTTTGAGCAGTTCATTTCAGTATAAACTATTAAAAAACTACAATAAAGAAATAACATTGAATGGAATGACAGTGTTGTGTCTGACAATATAATGATATCGATGTTTGTGACGTCATGAACATAAACACATAAAATTGAGCTGCCTCCAAAAGTTTAGAGAGCATTCATTTTCCTTTCAAGATTTTCAAAATGAGGAGGGACATGACTGTTACCACGTCCTTTATCGTTGTTGTATTTGGACGGGGTCGACCCCACCTGACAAACTTATACAAGTGGACATGTTGTTCCAACGGTACTTACTTGGAGGGGGAGGTCCTCCACGACATATAGTGTTGATGTAAACCGAAATGATTAATTAAATTAGGAGATTACCCTACTTCACGAACAAGGCGTCGGCGACATACAAGCCGCCTTCAGAAATAGAAGTGAAACTGATTTGGTTTGCATTATAGAATTCCTTACATAGATGTTTAAAAATTGGCTTTGTAAAACATAATAAAATGACAGAAATATTCAAAGGAGCAATGACATAAAGGAGAAACAATCACTGTGAAGGTTGATTTATGAGCGATGCATGTACATATCTGCCAGAAACACACGACAGGACGCTGGTAGTTGTGGTGATGTGAACTGACATCACGGACACATGACTTCACTTTGGCCCTGTTCATATCCCACAGTTGGATTCAACGTGTTCATGCCATAGTAAAAGTTATATCATAGAGTCTAACATTGCACCCAGCAATAAATCAGCTGTAAGGGGGATGCTTAACCGAGCCATGTACGATGAGGTGTTTGCTGTTTTTTCAGTATCGGAAATCACCATTTCTGTTAAAAGGAGAGTGTTTGGGTTAGTTAATGTCCTGACGCCGTCCTAAGCAAACCTCTTGCCATGGTGGCGAACTGTTACCAATTGACACGCGCACACACATACGCCCACGCACCATGCACATTCACATAGAGAACATCACCGAAACCATGCTTGCAGGCCATGCTGCTGTCTTTAAAATTATTAATGTGCTTAGGCCGATTTTTGCTTTAGTTTCATAGATTTAATACCATTTATTTAAATACCAAGCTAGCAGATCTATTCAACACAAAGACCATTATAACGACAATGTCAGTCCGCACCAGGATGAGCGATATCATTTAAAAAAGAAAGGCTGTTAACCTTAAATATATATTCTTTATTCGGGTGTAACTGTTAAACATTTATATTATATAACAGTATGATACGTGTCCTTTATCACAATATCTGGGTTGCAGACTGCAACCGTGGTCTGACTCCGTCTGGGGTACTCCTGTGCGTTTTGTTCACACCATCAGAAGTACAGAACTTCACATTCCACACAACGCTTGCTGCCTAACTACCAGCGTTGAAATTTAAACAGAGACACTCATGTTCAATCCTACACGTGTTGCTCTCTACCATGGTCGCCACACTGCCTCGTCGCACACTCGTTCATCCTTCTGGTTGCTGCACACATGGACCTCGATAGCTTCCTTCTTGGACACCGTGTCATCTGTATCTGGCTTGTTATACAATGTCTTGACTGGGGTTACAGCCGCACAGGGGATATAGGTTCTCTCAACAGGTACGTTATGTGTGTTGGTAAATCTGTGAGCTGCTTGAGAGTGGTGGGATGCTGATGAAGTATGATGAGAGTTTGTGCCTGTGGGTACTGATTCCGACGTTTTTGGAGACGTTCCAGCAAAAACTGGTATCACATAATTTGGAGTCTGACATTGTCTTAAGACATTGGCGGGTAACACAAAAGCAATTTCTCCTGAAGATAACTGTGTGGGAATAACTTGAAGTCCACTGAACATATTTTCTGATTTTGTTGATTCCAAGCACATCCTGGCTGGCGCGTTGTTGTTCAGGTCGACAGCAGTTGACGACGCAGGCATATTAACTCGAGACGGCGACGTTGGTCTGGTGTGTAGTTCTTGTTTAAATAACGGTGGAGGTGATGATGTTGGTGATGACGCTGGTAATGACGTGTCTGTCGTATTGGCGGTCTCTACTCCAGCCAGGTAGCAGGCGATGTGATCTAACAGTTTGGTCTTCACGTCAGTGTTCAGGTCTTCAACTGACGTCAGATAACGCTGTACCTCCATGGAACACTCGTTAAATCCAAGCCGGTACTTGTTCATTATGGTTGGATCATCAGCAGCTGCCACTGGAAATGTAAGATTCAAGCTACATTCAAGACTCCATCTGAGGGAGTGCATAGTGCTTAAGACGCATAAATACTGTGAATTGCAGCATGGCACAGTCTGAAGTACCACTTGTATGTATAATTACGTTAAGTACGTTAATTGAGAAAAATATCAAAATAAACGTTGAATACAGAGGTCTTTCTTGCATGTACATTTTTCACACATTTGGTATCATGTAGTATATGGGCAAGGCACATAGAAACGAAAATATATTGTCATGTGCAAACAAACATGTTATGCATAGATATATGAATGTGTATTCACGTGTACGTGTTTGAGAGGAACATACAATCACTGACGTTTTGGCTGAAGTTGTTGTCATACCAACAAATACCCACATTGTCCTCACTCCTACTAACCACTAACAAAGTAACGGAAACGCACAATATGGCAATACCATGTCATTAAAGTGTGATATTTACAGGAGAAATACTGACATTTTTCAAGTGAAGGTATATTATGCTCATTAAATATTTGTTGGAATCAAAATTAAAATCAGCTGCAAATACCTCAATTCCCTTTAACCAACACATATCTAAAGCCTTGTCACAAGCCTGTTATTCAGCATATCGTAACCTCCCCCTCAAAATGCTTTGTCCATACGCTTTGGTCACGTGATCATCGCCTTTGATCTCACCGAGGAGCTCACCTGTAAAATGCTGTCTTTGCATTTGCCTGAGATGCTTCACTGTCATTTCCAGGATGTCGGCTTTCTCCATCTTGCTGTGCCTTGTTCCCTGGCAGACAAAATAGCATACATCATAAACAAGGTCAAGCGTGGATGCTCCCTCGCCACACGGGATGTAAGGCTACGTGGGAATGTACGGCCAAGCACATCGGCGCATTTTGTGGAACCCAAATCTCACGATACACACGTTAATTGTACAGTACTGATTCGTACAAATAATCAGAGATATGACAAATGTAAACAGTACATAATTTGTCACGTTTCTAATTCACCAATCTGTTCATACACGTGTCTTCCAGTCTGACGATTACAAACTGATAACTACAGACCAAATATAAACTTCCATTATAAGCAATCACACAGATAAGCGGTCTCTGTACAGCCTTACCCATACGTCACTGGACATCCCTGGGGTATACTTCACATATAGTACTGATAAGACTTCATTATTACTTTACCTGTCAAGACACTAGATATTTCTATGTTCGTGTACAATCTTCGAAAAATTACTTACTTCTTTTTTTTTATTGCTTCCAACAAAAGCGACTTCAGCTCAGCCAATGAAGCGTTGATTCTTGCTCTCCTCCGTTTTTCCATGATTGGTTTTGTGCTCTATAGAAAAGAGCAAAATGAAACAAAACATTAACCCATCTCACACATACACAAAACGCATTTTCATTTCAAATAGACAGACATTTGTTATACTTTATGCAAACATTTACAGACATTCTACTAACAGTCTGTTTAATGAAGTCTCTGTACTATGTGGTACACAGTGAAGTGATGTTGCAAGTACTCACTTTCCTGTCTCTGGGTTCATTCCCAGTCGTTTTGGTGCTGTCGGAGAGCATCGTTTTGTAACAGAATGGACGAGCGCCACTGTCTCAAGGAACGTTCTCACAACGAAAACAAAGTCAATAAGATAGATAAGGAAGTGTCGTTTTCTTAAAACGCACAAGAAATCTTCATTTTATCAGTAACGTCAATCAACTAGATGAAACTCCACCCACCCGTCATATCATGGATTCTGATTGGTCAGGTACAACGTCACAGCCGGCGTTACGCCACTCAATGTCTCAGGCATGCGCCCGACGCCCCGCGCGTGACGAAGCGAACCCATGGCACGCGACTAGATGATTACAGGGCTGTGGGAAGACCGCGCCCCCAGGACACAGAGAGACAGAATTGTTCCCTCAGAAGCTTGAGTGGTAGAGTTCTCGGGTATCAGAAGTTACGTCTTATTTCTGGATATATTAAATCTGGAGTACTTTTTATTTGCAAACATCTTTCAGTTTTCTGAATATTGAAAAGTTAGTGAGAAATTAACTGAATTTTGAAAATTGAGTAAGAAATGAATCCATCATTTTGTTCAGAAGTCAGGTTTTATCAAAAGTAACCCGAAGCCCACACGTTCGATGAGATTCAAATATATAGTTTTAGAAACGTTATAAGCCTTGTTGATTTACCCAGGCTATACTGTAGATGTTGGATACACCGTGCCCAGGACAAGTTCAGTAACAATAACATTTGTAAATTACAAAACAAGAAAAATACTCATCCATACAATCATATACATATCATATATATACATATATATATATATATATATATATATATATATAGAGAGAGAGAGAGAGAGAGAGAGAGAGAGAGAGAGAGATTATTTGGTAATAATACACTATACATATATTAGTGTATGTTTAAGCGCATACATGAATCATTTTGACACATAAGCGAATTGTCCCTTTTGTAGGCAGTATGTTCATTCCGCAGTGTCATACCCCTTACCGATGCAATGTTCACGAGCATTGCGGTTCAAATCCTGTGGCTTTCGCATCCTAGATTCTCAAAATAAGGGTTTATGGGTTTTTTTATTGCGCAATTAAAGTAAAACTGGTAAGAGTCATCACCCGTACATTTCCGTGTCCTCCTTTATCATAAATGCAATATCTACATAATAAAGTACGGATCAACGTTTACCACAATCCAGCCCGTCTTCCATTGAAGAGTTCTTACCTCTGTAAGTTACCGGTACATTATATATACCCGATATACACTACGGATCCTGATGATGAATTATCGGATAGGATGGATATAGTAGGTAGCGTTTGGTGGTAAAAGAAACACAAAATCATATCATAAATAGGGCTAGACATTGATGAGATGTCGATAGGGGGCTTGTTGCTTTGTTGGATAATGCACTTAGCATATTTGAAATTCTTTGATCTGCTAATAATCGAGACTGGATCAGACAATCCAGTGACTGACATCATGAGCATCTCAATCTACCAACACACATGAACCAAATCAGAGTGCCTGACTACCCGAGATGTTGATGGTAGAGGGGTATATGGATAGGTATAGGAAACAGTAGGTAGGTGGTGATGCATTGATGATGGTAGATTCAATAGAAACCTATATACAGATGGAATGCCAATATTATAACTGCAAATGAACAGACAATATATCAACAATCAACATCACATGTGGACGGGTTTCAGCAAAGCCGACTCGAGCCGCTCGCCACGAACGCGCTGAGTGAAGTGCTTATCAAATACCTGTTGCGATAAGTGTATGATACGCCGCACAAAACAGCTTATGGCGGAGGGCGAGGGGAGCGTGGGAACACAGTTGTAGTCGCTCTCGTATTTGATAAATCACTGAGGTTACTTAAAGCTTTCTCCTGAGAGATGAATAGTAATGAAATCCTCCGTGTTGGCAGCCTGGCCCCCACCAGGTATCGGGCACCGAGGAATACAGCACCCCGTGTGGTTTTATACATCGTCCTACATAGATGATACTATTGTTCCACCCTACAAAACGTCAACACACCAGCTTCAACATATCAATTAGGAACATGATAGCGTATTAAGGTAATGGTCCACTGTGGGGGATGAGGACTTCAGAAGAAACTCTCATATGTTCGGCTATAAATCTGGATTTATACCCGTGGTAGATAATTAAATATGAGCTGGTATCTGCAGTATAATCTCATCGTACCGGGGAATAAAAGGTTTTTTTAATATGTTCTTACACAGTGCATTATGACTATCAGACTATCTTTGAAATCAAATTTCGTTGGTCAAATGGTGGGAACACTATTTTAATGTGGAGGCGTTTGGTACAAGTGCTCACTTACATTTCAATCTCATAATTTGTATTATTAGAAAAACTCCAGTTAAACAAATCCTCGATAGCCGGGAAACTGAACATTCCAAAGCATAAGAACCACACGTTTAATGTAAGCATGAATAGTTAGTTAATCCAGAAATACGTTAACCCGATCGTTACACCTTGTATTTATGGGATGAAACAGCTGCTTGTGATCCCCACCCCATAGCTATCGAAACTGATACATCCAAGGTATCACATGCTGGACATATATGTTACAGCCTCTGAAAATGGGTTTGGAGTTGGGCTTCTTGTGTCTAGGTGTGTAAATATGAGATGTCGCTACAGACGTGTTTGTCAAACCTATAGTCAGTATACGGGGGTGTTTTATGGCGTCTTATTGTTTTCCTGGATGTATGCATGGTGCCATTGTTTCCTGGATGTATGCATGGTGCCAGTGTTTCCTGGATGTCTGCATGGTGCCAGTGTTTCCTGGATGTCTGCATGGTGCCAGTGTTGAGCATGATGTGAAGGGGAATGGCGTGGTTCGGTACGGCTTAGAATGAGAAGATAGGTGTGTGGCGTTCGGTGCGTGAGTGGTGTGAGATGACGCATCGTGGTGTTAAATGAATGATTTCATATGATGTGATATAAGGTGTAAAGATATATGTTACGTATATGAGAGGCGTGTTGTGTTTTTTTTTGTTATGTACATGATGTGTTGTTATGAGGTGCGGTTTCACGTGTATGGCGAAACATGGTTACATGGTGCGGTGTGTTTGGTGCAGTGTGTATGGTGTAGTTTGGTGGGTTGTTCATGGTTGGGTGTGCATAGTGTCTTGTGGCGGGGTGTGCATGATGTAGTGTGGTAAAGTGTGCATGGTGTGGTCTGCATAGTCTCTTGTGGTGGGGTGTTCGTGTTGTGTTGTGCAATGGTGTTACATGGTGTTGTGTGCATGGTTTTACATCTTGTGCATGGAGTTTTGGTGGTTTGGTGTGCATGGTGCTTTATGATGTGGTATGCATGGTGTGGTTTGCCATAGTGTTACATGGTATTTTGTGCATGGTGTAGTATGCATGGTTGCATGTTGTGTGGTGTGCATTGAGCAGTGCGCCATGGTGTTACGTCATGTAGTGTGCATTTTGTTATGTAGTGTAGTGTGCAATGGTGTTTCATCGTGTAGTGTGCATGGTGTAGTGTGCAATGGTGTTACATGGTGTAGTGTGCATGGTGTAGTGTGCATGGTGTTTTGTGATGCTGTGTGCTTGATTTAGTGTGCCATGGTGTTATGGTTGATGTTTGATGCGTGTATGCGTGTGTTTGTCTGTTTATTAGTGTTTATTTGTGTTTATGTGACCATATGTGCACGTGTGTATATTACCGTGTGTACAGTGCGTGCGCGTGCACCTGTGTGTTCCCTTACCACCCAGGTTTGGGGTTAGTTCCCAACAAAATGACAGCAGTAGAATGGAACTACATTGTGAACATCCCATAAATTGACTGGACTATTGTAAGTGTAGATTTAATCATCAACACCTCGCGGTACATGCGCCATAAGTAATGTGGTCATATCTAATGCCTCGTTAATCCTGGAGACGCCTTCTTGTCGTTAGACGTTTTTGTGAAAGACAATTATTGCGTTATGACCGATTACAAGTCTTAGGAAAAGATTTCATTGGATATTTTTTTCATGAACAAACGTCAGTCTGTTTCACCAGTCTGCACAAGCGTGGGAACGTGCGATGTAAACAAATAACCCAACTATCATTCTGAGCTTGTCGCATTCAAGTCTAGACTTTAATGGCTAAAATATGATTCTGCCCGATGGATAATTTTTATAGCTACTTCCATGTTCCTGCATTTAAAATCACATAAAGTTTACACATAATTTATGGGAGAAAATCTACCGAAGCAGTTTTAAAGCTGCAACGTAAGGGTTTACGCTCCTGCTCAGCAATTTCTTCTTTTGTAAAACACTTGTAGGCAACTTGGCCGGTGGTAGCTCAAGAGCCACGGGAAGAGAAAGGGTTTCAAATATCTATTTGCTAATATGATGACTATATCACTCCGTGTCTATTGATATGATGTATATATCACTATAGTTATCTATTTGCTAATATGATGACTATATTACTTCGTGTCTATTGATATGATGCATATATCACTCCATATCTATTTGCTCATATGATGACTATATTAATTCGTGTCTATATATTGATATGATGTATAATGATATGATGTATATATCACTCCATATCTATTTCCTAATATGATGACTATATCACTCCTTGTCTATTGATATGATGTATATATCACTCCATATCTATTTGCTGATATGACGACTATATCACTCCGTGTCTATTGATATGATGTATATACCACTATAGTTATCTATTTGCTAATATGATGACTATATTACTTCGTGTCTATTGATATGATGTATATATCACTCCATATCTATTTGCTAATATGATGACTATATCACTCCGTGTCTATATATTGATATGATGTATATATCACTCCGTGTCTATATATTGATATGATGTATATATCACTCCATATCTATTTGCTAATATGATCACTATATTACTTCGTGTCTATATATTGATATGATGACAAGATCATTCGGTGTCTATATATTAATATGATGACTATATCACTTCGTGTCTATTGATATGATGTATATATCACTCCAGATCTATTTGCTAATATGGTGACTATATCATTCGGTGTCTATATATTGATATGATGTATATATCACTCCATATCTATTTGCTGATATGATGACTATATCACTCCATATCTATTTGCTAATATGATGACT